GGGCAGGGACAGGGGTTAAACTCAATGATCCCTGTGGGTCCCTTCTGACTCAGGATATTCTGGGATTCTATGATTCACTACTATGGCTTCCTGCATGAGTGGGCAAGGCTGGAGAAACAGGAAAAATGATCAGCTAGTTAAAAATGTCATGGCTAGAAAGAGCTGAGGAGTCAATAGTGCGAGGCAACAAGAGAAAAACAACCATTTTGGTGGCATTAAGGCACATACTCTGAACCCTCTCTCAAAACCAACTTTCAGTGAGCAAAAGCTTTGCCCAGCAGCTGCCCCTCAGAGCACACCAGGCCTGCACTTACTCAGAGAACTCCCCACAGATCCAGGCAGCAGCATAGAGCACCTCGCAGATGCCGTTCCTCTGGGTGTTGCTGGCGATCAGGTGCGCGTTGTCCAGCAGCATGGCCATCTGCGACACCGCGAACCTGCGGATGGCCTTCACCCTGATGGCCACGTCCAGCATCTGCGCCGCGATCAGGTGCCCGTGCCTCGTGCCCTCCAGCCGGGTCAGCTCCACCAGGATGCTTATGTACCTGTGGGAANGATGGCAATTGCAATGTTGCTGTTTTCTGCAAGGAGAGGAAGAAGTGAAGATTAATATAACAAGTTCTCTCTGTGAAAGCAAAGAGGTCAGAGGCAGGAAAGGAGGGATCAGTGCTGGGCACAATCATGGTTCAGTCATTCACAGGAGCTGCTCAGGCCCATAAACATCAGCTCACACCAGAGATCAGCTTTGCTGAGCTGTGGAGAGCCCAGGGCTCCCTGGCTACATGGAGAATCCACAGCAGCCCCCACTGCTCCAGCACCACTTAGATTAGTACTGAATTATGTAAGGAAAAGCATTTCAACATTCACTCACTCTGGCCAGTTCCTCTTCATCTATTTCTGGCTGTCTGTGTCTGGAATGCCTTTGTTCCTCCTCATGAAATATTGTTTTGGGCTTTTCATCTTCAGACTCACTGTCTGATGGAGGCTCATTGATCCAGGCATCAAGGTCCAGCCTGGGAAGAATTGCAGCAAACAAACAGCTTGACTCAGTACCCTCAAATATTTCAGTGTCTCTTCATATACTTTGCTTTATTATTCAAAGTTTAAATAAAGGTTTGGGAGAGAGAAGGAACTTTACCCCTCTGGAACAGGGACTTTCTTCTGTGCTTTAGGAGCCACAGGGTTCAGCTCACCAGCAAACAGGGCTATCACTTCCTCAGCTACAGGAACTTCTTTTGCTTGTAGCTTCTGAATGTATTTTATTAGCTGCAAGATGCAAGAAGCCTAAAAACAAATGCAGAAGTGGTTTCAGAGTAATATTTAACAAGCTGAACCAAACAAATCAAGTGAAGTCAACAGAAGGTGTTTTGTTCCATTAAGGAACTTAAGAGAAGCAGCATAAACTACAGGTTTATGGCAAATGTAAAAAGTCCATATTAAGCTTCTCTTGTAGCTGGATCCTTTTTGTGCCCTTAAGTGCCTGAATAATTTTAAAATTAAATTGTTTTGAGTGAACATCTTGCTGGCAGCCTTCAGATATGGCATCAAACTGCAATAAGATCTGGCCTTTGTCACTGATAACAGCTGATAGAAAATGTGCAGGGCCACAGAGAACCAGAGACCTGCTCCAAGGCTTCCCATGATAAATCCCAAAATCATTTCATCCTCTTACCCTCTCCTGAACCTCCAGATCTGCACTCTGCACAAACTGAGGCAGGCGTTCAATCATCAGCTGTGTGATTTCCTGAGCTGCCTCCTTCTCCCCAGCCTGCTCCTTCTGCTGCAGGATGGATGCATAGAGCTTCACCATGTTCTGCACGTAAACAGCCTGGATGTGGCCTGGCAGGGTGGTAACTTTGGGCCTCAGCATTGCTTCCAGGGTTTGGTTTGCTTCCTCCAGGTGTCTGTAAGGACAGAATACACAGATGAAAGGCAAGCAAAAATAAAATCCAACGGGCAGTGCTTAATACAAAAAAGAACATCGATCACAGCACTTCTACACATGCTCTTACTCAAAATTATCCGCTCACAACTAAATGGAAGATGCACAAAAAAGTATTACAATAATAAAACTTGTAAATAAAGCCAAGTTGTTTCTAAGTAAAAATGTGATAACACTGGAAAAAGAGTGTATTTTCTTACTTCTTCAGCTGCAGTTTTCTTTGTACAACTTTTTTTTTTTTTAAAGAAAGTGAAGATCTGAGCTGTACCAGCATTCCCCCAATATCACACCTACACTGTGAACTTAAACTGGAGCCAGTGCTCAGAGTGGCAATTAGAAGGAGACACCAAATTAGCTGGTAAGAGGAGATTCCAGTCCCACACCTGTCCAATCTACCAGAATAAAAGCTGGGTAACAGCTCTATCTGCACAAGCAAGAGACAAAAACACCTGTTCAAGCTGAAAAAACACATTGGTACAACACTGAAAATTGTAGTACTGTGGGCACTGAAAAATTTTGAGCAAAAAAATGACAATTTTTAATTTCCAGGAAGATGGGGCTCTGCAAAAAACCTTTTAACAAGGGCAAAATAGAGAGGAGAGAAAGAACTAATTCAAACATGGTGACCGCACATGTTCATGATTAAGGAGTTCCTTCAACATCT